GTCTTTGAAATTCTTCACACCTTTGTCACTAGTATTGAGTCTCGCAAGACCCTTCCTTTTCCTTGTCTTATTTGGTCCTTCTTGGCTGCCCACAACTTTTCTGTTAATCCCCGCTACCAAGACTCTCTCGAGAACTCAGGAAAAGCATTCACTGTGAGTGCTCGCACTCTCAATGAAAAGGGGACCTCCAAGGTCACAAGGGAACTGGCTCCCTCCTTGGTTCCTAAAAACTGGATGAGTTCGTGGCACAACAACTTGGAGAGTGGGATGATTTGGCAAAGAAATTAGCTGCTCAGCAGGCCTACCTTCGACAAGTGCTGCAAGCAATCAAGGGGACGAAGCGCAAGAAGTCGGGGACAGGCCCTTCGGCATCCCGTAGTTCGAAAAATGGGGAGAAGGGTTCAGCTGCTAGCAAAGGTGATGATGAAGACTCTGATCCTGAGGGAGATAGCACTGATGAGGCAATTGCAAAGTACTATGATAATGATGAGTAGCTAGTTGTTTTTGTGGAGGGATGTAGGGAGGTCTTTGTGTAATAAAGAACCTCATATTTGCTTGCTTTTGTGTTATGGTTGCTACTGTTTTTAGTCATTTTGAATGTAGTTTTTTTGCTTCTTTTGATGACTACTTATTTTGATTCAATGGAAATTTATTAGATTCATTCTGTTGAGTTTTGATGGCTGCAGGAACTGAGGGGGAGAAATGTGGTTATACAGTGACTATTTTTTTTGTGGGAATGTTTGAACTAATCTCTTGATGTGGTTTGTTACTTGGTGCTTGTTGTTTTAATTTTCAGGAGACTTTCAAGTCTGTTGTTTTCGAACTACATGCCAAAGGGGGAGATTGAAAGATATTTTTATTTGGCATTAGTTCGTCAGTTCGAACAAGCACCTGGAACCACAGAAAAAGGGAAGATCTTTATTTATTTTATTTCCTTAATTGAATTTATTTTATATTCCATATATAAGATACTATGGATCTTATTATGGTATTTTATTTTGTAGGAAATCGGACTTGAAAGAATTAAAGGAAGAAGAGGCGTGCATGCTAAGGAGATCATGGAGAGAGAATAAAATATTCACTTACCTAAATTGAGCTACAATTATGGAAGGAAATCAAGCTTGGAGTCCTATGTCTTGTAGAAGACTCCAACCCTAAGGAGTTCATATAAATACCCTAGAGGAAGCTCCTATTGCGGCTGCTGAAGTTAGAGAAACTTTTAGAGAAATATTTAAGCTTCATATTTTCTATTCTTTTCAGTTGTATACAGTTCAGTACGAGAGTTCTTACAAACTCAAGAACTGAAGTTGTTTTGTGTTTAGTTTCTTTGTTTCATCAAACTATCTTTTACTTTTACACTTAGGGAGTAAGTGTAGGATAAAAAGTCCACGGGACGTGGCCGGAAAAATAGTTGATAGGATCGTGAGTAGTGTTGGCTAGGCTTGAAGGGAGTTCGAGTCTTTGTAAGTCCAAACTATGTTCGTGTTTGATCTATCTATGAAAGAGCTCTGAGGGGAAGTGGGATGCTTCCCTGAAGAGTTTTTAAATCTTCGATTTATTGCTTCCGCATTCTTCAGTTCTTAATTTAGTTTGTACTACAAATAGCGCACTCCGTGATAATTATACGTTTCATAAATGTTGTGAATATTTAAAAATAATGTATTTGAATGACTATTTTGCCCTTGATGTATTTGTATAATTATAAGTTGTGCCATCAGAAGTTTTCTATAAATAGGAGCTTCAGTTATAATGAAAATCGTACCTAAGAGAAACATTTTATCTATTCTCTCTCTTTTCTCTCTAGTTTTATAACACGTTATCAACACGAGTCTCTACCTTCTAGACCTCGATTTGTAATACGACGTGAGTATGCTCTACATTGCGTCTTATAGACGATCGTCTGTATCAGAAATCGAAGTATTACAAAATCATTATTTTCATTCAAACAATTTGAAACCATAAACTCTTAAATTTCTTTTATCATTACTGATCATTAGCCATCCAAAACAATCTAAAATGTTAAGCTCTCTTTTCATCTCCACTAATACGGTCACACAGTGAGAGAGAAAGAAATGTAAAAGTTTGTTTTACTTATACAAATGGGAATTTTTCTACTCCAAGTGAAGAAAACTTGTCTCTATTCTCTTTGGTGATGCTCCTTCTTATTAGAGCTCTAGCTCAACTTCACAAAAATTGAACACACAACTTGAATATAAATAAAAATAAAACGAAATCGTGGGGCTCGCAAAATTTAACAATTGGAGGACGAGAAACATACTCTCTTGATTTGTAAAGGATGACAAGAGGAACAAAGGTGTAGCTGTTGGTGTTCTTCATACTCTGGTTTCACTATTTGAAGAAGAAGATAAGCTCTTCACTTGAATATTTTACATCATGGGTAGTTTATTTAATAATAGTAAGAATACTTTTAAGAGTATTAAATCAAAGAATGCGAGAACATTGAAAATACGAAGAGAAAAATGGTGTAGGCAGGTTTACAAATGATTCATTGCCTTAGTATCCAATTGCTACATATTCAATGCATTTGACTAAAACAAATAGTGTCTCATTTAATGTGGGGTCCCTTCACTATTTGTCCATTAATGCCATGTGGGAAGATGGACAAAAAAGTGAGATTGATAGATAGATTGAGAAATAGTAGTGGAGAAAATGATATAGAGAGATACAGATATGGTTTGAAAAAAAAAGAAAAACAAATTGGGTCCATTTATTGATGAAGGGGAACCACCACCCATATTTATGTTTTGTGCACATTTATGGAGAGTGGGGTATTATTTGTTTTGGTGTCATTCCAATATCCATGAATAGTATCTTCTTTGCAAATCTAATGTATTCAATTGGGATTTCAAGTGATATGTTGAGACTTTTTAAGGTTTGAGATTTGTTAATATTTTTAGATTTTGGAGAAATTCCGTGAAATCCTAAGTCTGGAGGTGGGATTTGAAATAAGATTTCGTATAAGGTTTTTGTTTGGAAATCCCACCAAATCTTAAAAGTCTTGACAAATCCGAGTGTCAAATAAATTAAACACCTCATGATTTTGTAAAATTTTTTAAAATCCCAATTGAATACTCCATGATTTTTAAAAATCTTAACAAATCTAAATTAAATACACCAAGATTTCTAAAGTCTTAAAAAGTCCTTAGAAATTCTAATTGAATACACCCCCTAAGTCCTCCATAATTAGTAAACTTATTTCTTTCATACTACTCAATTTAATGATAGCTTTATTTTATGATCAACATTGATATAATTATATATATTGATATTATGATATGAAAATTATTTGGTACGTGGATATGTGGACATTTGTGGATTGACCCTTGTGATATGAAAATAAGTATGTGTGGCTGCGAGGACCAGCCAGTGCGGCTCTGCCGCCAGTAAGTAATATTGATGGTAGCCAACGGGTCAATTGGTAATCAAAATATTATGAATGACCAAGTATTACAACCACCAGCAACATATAATATTGAACGACTAAATGGATCAGTCAATGTATTAATGATAACCGATGATGTGGAATGGCCATGTGGTAAAGCCATGTGCAACCGATAGTACATATAAAAGGATATGAATGACTATATATACATGGGCCAGCCAGTGCGGCTCTGCCGCCAGCGACGGGCAATACTAATTAGTGATGGCCAATGAGTAAAATGAATGATAATTTGTATTTAGCCATGTGAAAGTTGACTAAAGTCCTTATCATGAAAGAAAATTATATGGACTAACATGATCCTGAAGAAAAGGTTGATAAATTCTCCAAATATATTAATATTGGAGAAATGAAAAATTGATGAGATGGTACCAGAAGTTACCACATGATTAATGTGATGTCGGAAGTTACGACATGATGATTAAATGATATCTGGTATATGGTAGTGGAAGCTACCACATTATGATTAAACAAAATGATGAAATGGTACCAGAAGTTACCATTGGATGATTGAACAAACTGAGAAAGTGGTACCAAAAGTTACTAGTTATGGATGATCACACAAAATGATTTTTTCAATATATTATATGAGTCTAAGGGACTATATCAGATCATATTGAGATTCAAGATTATATAGATATTACAAAAAAGTGCTCCAAAAGAAGCACATGAGATAAATGATTGTAGTCATGAAGTACTACACGCTTATATTGTGGAAAAACTAATTTGATATTATTATTAATGAGGAACAAGTAGGGCTGAGCACGGGTCGGTTCGGTTCGGAGATCCATAAATCTCCAGAACCGAACCAAATTTCGGAGATTTCAAAAACTGGATCTCCAGAACCGAACCGGTTCTAATAAATCTCCATTCCTAACCGAACCGAATTTTGGTTATGTTCGGGGATTCGGTTCTAATGGGTCAGTTCGGTACGGTTCAGAGATTTCGAAGATTTTCATTATAAAATATGTCCAACACTAAACTAACAATAAATATACATGGTCCAACACATAGACAAGTCCAACAAACTCCATTAACAAGAGCTAAACTAGCAAATCATTCACAAATTACAATTCCAAATAGATCAAAATGAACAAAATGGTGTCATACAAGTCCCACCAAATTCCCAAACAAAAAAAAAAAGAACCCATCATATTCTTCATGAATCACGAACCCCGTGCGAACAACTTCGACTCCGATATTCATCTACCTTCCATTGTTCCAAATTTCCAGCAAGAACTAGAACATAAGAGTAAATATTAAAAAAAGAAAAAAAATACATTAGTATATGCAATGCAAACACTTAAATTTCAGTAATCATACTGAACAAAAAAAAAAAAAAAAGGAAAAACAGTAATCATCATCATATTAGAAAACATAGAAGATACTCATCAAATCCTCATTAGTATATTACCCTAATTTCCAAGTTTTTTCTCCAGAAGAGTAGTGTTCAGGCACTCATCAAATCTTCATTAGCCAAATACAACCAAATAACATTAGAAGATAATTATTAAAATAAATACCTCTATGTCTCAATTAGTCAAATATCCAAAGATGTCCGTGAAAGTAAGCTTCCCTTAATATTCGAATCTTGCATTGCATCTGTAAAATAACATAAATCGAGACAATATCATACAACAATAAGAAAAAGAGAAAAAATTGAATTTTAATGAATATAAAACAAATAGAATTTAGAACTATACATGGAGTAACATAAGATAATTTAAAGCAACTAAAGTTGTTAACGTTTTATATGAAATGCATACCCGTCTCGAGATTCTCAAGATATTCTATACCTTCTTCGACTTCTTTAGGTGACTTGGCATTTCGTAGCCAATCTTGGCAACAAATAAGCACTTCGGCTGTAGTAGGAGTTAAAGAACTCCTAAAGCGATCCAAAGTTCGACCACCAGTGCTAAAAGCAGATTCGGATGCCACGGTTGATGATTGAATGCCTAAAACGTCCCTCGCAACACAACTTAAATAAGGTACCTAACCGATTTAACTTTCCACCAAGCCAAAATATCAAAATCAGGTCTATACTTTTCAGAAAACTCCTCCAAGTACCGATCAAATTCATCTTTAGTAGCTGCCTTTTGTTGGTTTTCTTCTTCCAGAAAGAAATCATCAACATCAACATCATCATCAATGTGAGTGTTCTCGTCAACCCTTTTAGACTCACCCTTGTCATTTGCCCCATCACTTTTCTCATCCAGGATACTGTAATCCTTAATCAAACTTTTCACAGATCGAGTTACTTTATCCACCAATTCATCGCCTTCTCTTTCACTATAGTAGAATGCATATTTGACCCTCAAATACTTCATCTTGTATCTAGGATCAAGTACCACAACAATGAAAAGCATCAAATTTATTTTGTTGATAGACCCCCAGTATTTATCAAACTTGTCCCTCATTTGTTTCCCCATTTCCATCAAACACATATCACTACTCTTCTCAAAATTTTCAATTTCCTTTAAAGTGCGAATTATTTCAGGAAAATACATGTTTGCTGTTGCATACAATGTTCCTGATAATTTACACGTAACATCATAAAATCGCTTCAAAAATTTTATGAAATGAGCAACATAATTCCAATCATTCTCGCAAGGCAATTGATCACCAAACTCTTTCAAAAACTTCTCATCCAAATCTTCCAACTTATCAAATGCTTTTTGAAACACTAAAGCAATTTCAAGCATCAAATAAGTTGAATTCCACCTTGTAGGACAATCTAATATCAAAGAAGCCTTACTTTTGATATTTGCTTCTTCACAACATTTTTAAACAAATCTAGCCTTTGCGGGCTAGCCCTTACATACCGCACAACATTCTGAATCTTTGTTACAGAATCACAAGCAAACACAAGGCCATCTTTAACAATCAATTGCAAATATATGAGCAAAACACCTCATGTGAAAAGCTTCCCCACCCAAGACAAAAGCATTTTTTTCATCAATTTCTTTTTCAATTGTTGGATGGCCGTATCATTAGATGATGCATTATCGACTGCAATGCACATGACCTTATCCAAGCCCCATTCGTCCATGCAAAAATCAATTGCATTTCCAATGTTTACCCCTTTATGACTCTTAATAACACAAAAATTTAAGATCCGTTTTTGCATTATCCAGTTAGGATCAATGAAATGAGCTGTCAAACACAACTAATTGACATTCTGTATACTCGTCCATGTATCGGTAGTTAAAGACATCCTTTGACAATGAGACTTAAGAAGTGCCTTAAATTTTTGCTTTTCTTTCCCAAACATAGAAAAGCAATCCCTAGCAATAGTAAATCTTGATGGAATAGAAAACCAGGGACAACAAACTTCAATAAACTGTTTAAAACCGTCTCCCTCAACAAACCTAAAAGGATGTTCATCCTTTATAATAATCCTAACAAGTGCTTCCTGTACAACTTCCTGATCAAATTTCTAACATGAGAGTTTACCATCCCCAGAGTCACTCGCACTTTGAAAATTTAAGACTCTTTGACTTTATCTTTACGCTTGTGAGCTTCAACTAAATCAGTTTTAATTGGGCATTGTGAACACGTTTCTCTTAGATGTTTCCACAGCCCTGAAGTTCCAACATCACTACAACCATAGTTTTTCTCACACCAAACACATTTAGCCCTCCCAGTTTCAATACCATTTTTATCTTTCGATCTTTCAAAATGATCCCATACCTCAGACCTGCTCTTTTTGGCTACAGGTAAGCAAGAAACGCCTTCAACTGGATCTGTATTCGAATCAACCGTACGTGATGGACTTGGAGCGCTTGATGTCGACAACAGTTGATTTTTTTGTGGAATCGGATTTTCTTTTACTCGTAGCTACAAAATATTGAAGTAAACAATATTACGATTTACGATCAAAAAATAAAATAAGTAAAATAAACATATTTTTTTTTTCTTACCACTTCTAGTTGATGATGAATCAAACTCTTTACGAGCTTTCGAAGCCAT